ATCTGAAAGATGGTTAAAAATTAAGGCTTTCGTGTGTATTCAATCTGAATGTAAATATTTGTGTCAGAAGACATTTCTGTCATTAATAAGCACAAATATTCTTTCCATTCACCAATGAATGCCTCTAGTTGTATAAGTAGTTTTCCTTTTCATAGTTTTATAAATATCTATCTTCAAGAAATATGTAAGCAGTGGTTGTGGGAATAGCAATGGTTATGGGTTACTAAATTCATAAATTTTTTGAAGTTTTTCAGGACTTCGTATTTTTTGTTTTTTTATTTTATTTTAGCTCTTGTCATTGTCATTGGCTATGTATGAAGTGTTTATATTTGGCCATGTGAGAAGTTATCTAGGTACAAGGCTGTTGTTTGAGATACGCCTTGTTCTTATTTTTCCAACTGTGCAGAAGATAATATCAAATCAAAGTAATGAACTTTAACCGTGGTTATCTTGTGGTCTGTCTTTGTAAAGAAGACTACACCATTATGTACTTTTTATTGTGATTTTGAGAATACCATTTTTTTAGTTGGCTATGAGTTTACTATCCAAACCGCATATGGGGTAAAATAACTGTTAGCTTTGAATGTCTATTCCCATCTAGGAAATGAAGCCAAAAACTTCAGTTTAGGACTGTTGTACCCAAGCTATATTTTAGTATACTTTTTCTCTCTATAGTTATATTTATATTTTATTCTTGTCACTGCTGCCATATGAGAAACCTTTTAAGGCATATGGTATATATACCTTTCACTGTCTCGTATTTGTAAGGAAATGGTACAGCAATTTCATTTTGTTTTCCTTTTCATTTTTCTTAAGAACTGCTCCCTCAGTTTTCTGTAAATAATTCTAGATTCTTCATACTCAAACACCTTGATAATTTCCTTGTATATGTCTTGATCTACTTTCAATAGGTGGTCCACCAGGAAGCATTTACCTATATGGGCGATCAAAAGCAATTTGTGCAGATTGACAAAAACGATCTGTATCCCTATCTTCTTGTTAATATTGGGTCTGGTGTTGGAATGATTAAGGTATTTTATCATGCAAGCTGTATTACTTCAATTTGTTTTCAAATATGCACTCTTTTTTAGACACTAAAAGTAATATTTTAATATTTTCATAAAGGTGGAAGGAGAGGGAAAATTTGAGCGAGTTAGTGGAACAAGTATAGGTGGAGGAACTTTCTGGGGTTTAGGCAAACTTTTGACCAAGTGCAAGAGGTGGGTATTTCTTTTCCTGAAGCCTATGAACTATTATTGATTTCTATGTGAATCACATAGGATTACCATTAGTGTACTTCATGATTCAGTTTCGATGAGTTGCTGGAATTAAGTTATCGGGGGAACAACAGAGCAGTAGATATGCTTGTCGGAGATATTTATGGTGGAATGGACTATTCTAAGGTATGACTGGTGTAAGTTTATGTCCCTTTTCCTGTTTAAAATTATAAGAGTATTTCTTCTGTTGCCATTTGATGACTCTAAAAGTGATTGTTTCAAATGGAGAATAATATAATCTAATTATTCTAGTGATTATTTGCTGGAATATATTTTTTCTTTGATTGATAACAGATAGGTCTTTCTTCCACTGCAATAGCATCTAGCTTTGGAAAGGCAATTTCTGATAATAGGGAGCGTGAAGATTACAAACCTGAAGATATTGCTCGATCTCTTCTAAGAATGATCTCAAATAATATTGGACAGGTCAGTTGTGTACTGTAGATTTCTAGTTAGACGAACACCACTCTGCACTACATGATGATATTAACTATACGTGATATTTATATATGTGTATAGTACATCTAGTGGAGTAAAACATCATGACAAGACTCCAAACCTGCAATTTGTCTTCATTTTCTGCAACGATTTTCAATGTTCTCGTTGCCTCTTACTATCTTTATATTAGTTGGTTTGTGTCGGATATCTTATGCTTACCCTGGTTTAGACATTAATGCTCGTTATTCTCTTTATTTTTTCCCTCCCATTTTTTCTGCTGATGCTTTAAATGGAGTGCTTAAAGGCTTTTGGATTCAACTATAATCGAAATATTACAATTCTGCAGAAGGACTTATCTCTGATGTAAAATGCTGGAAATTATTCCTCCAAATCTTCCACGGGAACTTTCATGTTCTTCGTGCAGGCTTTTAGTACCCTTATACCTTGTGAACGCTTAAATATGGACTACTCCTGACAAATGAATGATTTTGTACATTCCATTGTTTCCACCCTTGACTTACTTAATAATGGAATCTTTTATTAAATAAAGTTAAAATAATAATTAGAGATTTGTATCTTAAGCCAAGATGCCACCTTGCATTTTATTGACATTTTTTTTATCTTTCTCTTTTGGTTGAGGGATGGAGGGGTGGTAAGTAATAAATTTGTTGGAGATCCACGTCGACTAAAGATAAAATAGATTTATAGTATATAAATAGGTACAAACCTCACCTTAAGAGGTGGATATTGACTTAGACTTAGAGTTCACTTCTTAATAAAGTATTAGAGTCATGTAAAGTCTATCCTAGTAAAAATTGTTATTTATTGAATCTATTGTTCCACTATTATTGAATCACCCATTAATGTTTAGTCTCACATTTGAGATGTATATTCCTCAACATAAGGGGTGTGTGTTAAAGATTCACAGTAACTAAAGATAAGATAGATTCACCATATATATAAGTAGATGCAAACCTTATCTTACAAGTTGGTTCTATAGGGTTGAGTTAGCATTAAAGTCTACTTCTTAACAAAACTTCATGGCATATGCACAAGGTCATATCTCAGCTTTAGGAAGGACAAAATTAAAAATATCTAATAATTCATGCACAAAAATTTATAGAAGTTGCTGTGATCCTGTTAATCTGGATATTGTTTAGACTTCATTGGTATTTTCGATATAAACACAGCATATACTTAACAACTGTTAGAAAATGTAAACTGTTTCATTAAATTCTCATTCTTCTCCTTTCCATTAAATTTAAATTTGAGGTCCAAGACCCACGTCTTTGTATATTTTCAATGGTTGGATAAAAGTTAAAAGCCATTGTAAAGCATCGATACTGAGGATAATGAATACTTAGATCGGTTAAGAAATCCCTCTTATATATGTAAAATAATTGTCACGTCATCTAAACTGTAAATCTTCTTCACTGGCTGATGGTTTTTTGTTTGAAAAACATATTTTACATTATTTATACAGAAGGAAAGGATGGTTAGGTAATAGAATTAGGAGTCTTGTTCATTTGGGCATCTGTACTTGTCTATATTAATAGTAAAAATAGGTGTCACTTCTTGTATTGTAACACAATTTGGTAATAATCTCTCTCCATTCAACGAACTACCGTAATATCTGCATGATGCAAAGTTTCAATGCAAATGTGATTAAGGTGGAATATTCATTTTATAAGTTCTTCATGGACTTAACATTTACCACCGTGTGCATCTTTGTTTGTAATAGTTATGCTGTGCCTTCTCTTTCATTGTTCCCAATCTTAGACATAAGATCATGATAATATTTATCCTATCCTAAATAGTGAAATGTATTTAGGATGATTTGTTTATTCTGTTGTTTGCTTTCAGATCTCTTACTTAAATGCCCTTCGCTTTGGGCTGAAGAGGATTTTTTTTGGTGGATTTTTTATTCGGAAGCATCCTTTTACTATGGACACATTATCTGTTGCTGTTAACTTCTGGTAAGTGAGAAGGACGTTCCTCCACCCTACTGCAAACCATGGTCTATGTTGAGGGACATGGACTAGTTCTTACGTTTAGAATTTATGTGATGGCCATTTCCATGAGTGTGAGGGCTATATATATATATATCCTTTTATGAGCCTCACGACATGTTCACCTCTAAAACTCATGGAATTGCTGAAGTCCATCTCTTAAAAAACCATAATAGTTTGAAGATACAGTGCCAAAGAAATACTAGTCTCAAACATTATATTCAGAATGATCAAAGGGAATCGTAGAAACATAAGTATTTTCTATGTTGTTTGTTCCATCAACAAAAGCAAGTGGATTCTTAACTTTGCATCATTAGCATGTCCTGATTCCTTTTGGGTGGCAAGGAGGGTGTTGGGTGTGGACAATTGTAGGTTTGTATGTGCATGATGATATATTTATATACAGTTGGAACATAAAATTCAGTCACTGTAATTTCTCACAGTGGCTATAATGCAGGAATGTTTGATTAGACTTCTGAGCATGCTTGCTTCTGGTACAATTATAAAAACATAAAACAAAAAAGCATTTGACTCGTTATTACTCTTTTTCAGGTCTAAAGGTGAAGCTAAGGCCATGTTTTTGCGGCATGAAGGGTTTCTAGGTGCTGTAGGCTCTTTCATGAGTTCTGATAAACATGGTCTCAAGGAATTATTGGCCAACGAAGTGGTGCCAAGAAGTCCCAGCAAGTTATCTTTTGCCGTGGATAAAATATTGCGTAGTTTACCAGATGGAGAGTTTAATGGAGATGAGAGTATAGAGTGCAGTGTATATGCAGCTTAGATGAAGCAATTCCTCGTTGCTTCCACGACTTGTAGTTGTAATATAGTTTTATTCTGTATAATGGTCGGAATTAAGGATTATAACTAGTGATTATTATTGGCCTAGAATTAAAGCAAGAGGGAAAATTAGAATGACAACGAGTTATTTTTCAGTTTCTATCAATGAATTGTGTTGTATAACAAAAAAATGATTTGTATGAATAAATAAGGCAAAGCCATGTTACTCATTTAATGAGATACATTTTTTCTGTTTGTGGTTTTGTGTACATTTGGTGCTTTGGAATTTGAAATCAGACCTCTCTTATCAGAACTATTCAGTCGTTCCTTGACAACTTTATATTCAAATGAATCGAGCAATTTAAGATTAAGAACTCTGGGATCTAAAATCAGGTCTCATATCGAAACTATTAAGTCATTCCTTGAGAACTTTATATTCAAATGAATTGAGCCATCTAAGATCAAGAAGCCTCGCTCCAAAAAACAAAAAAAGAAACAATGAAAAGAAAACAAAGTTGATTATTTTCTATGGAAACTCATCTGACTGAAATGTCATGCAATGAGCTGAAATTAGTGACTGTAACATTGTGTGATAAATTCTTTAAACTGAACTACATGTAAACAATCTATATATAGTGCTTAGAAAGTTAAACAAACATAGGAAAATCACATAGCAGTCAGCTGTTTTCTATGAGTACGCTTTGCATTTTTTCTACGCAAAATCCATCTTTCTTTAATGTCATTTGAATTAGCAACCAGGTCCACATTTTGAGCAGGTTTTCCTTGCAGGTCCTGTGTCTCAGACTTTTCAACCTCATACCCTCCTCTGATTCTAGCAGTTTCTGCAAGCATATCATATATAAGCATCTCAGTTGTCCGGGCAGTAATTCCTCTCAAATACCACGATATGGGAGGGGGAGGGACAATTGCTGGCTGGAGTATTTGTTCCAGACTAACTTTAGATCCAATTCTTCCTTTGCCTCTTGTACATGCATTATAGTCTTCCTTTGTCATAGGCTTAAAGGGATGGCACATTGCTTCATCAACAAATAAAGGCTCTACCCTCCAGCAGCCCTCAAACTTTGTCATAAATCCAGTCTTAGTTTGCTTGAATTTCATCTGACACAAAATTATTTAGCAGTATGTAAGACACACACACTTCGTAGGATGAAAAGCAGAAGCTTGTAATGCATTTAAGAAAGCAGCAGTATAACTACGTTGAGTTTTGTGTGCCTTGAATAAATTACGTGCAACAAATAGGAAATCCATCAATTATTTAAAAGTGGGATAGATCCTTACAGAGTGGTCTTTCCTGTTTTGATCTACCAAGACATTAATCGAAATAGTCCCGGACCACCAAAGAAATTTCCAAATGGCTGCTTGGTCAAGATCAACCACTTGCCTATGACCCTCATCAACCAAAACTGTTCTGGATATCACTTCCTGACAAAAAAAGACATCACCAAGTTGAATTGCACAAAGTTCGGAAATTGCTAAAATAGTGGAGCAGACAGACTATACAAAACTAGAAGCTCAGTAAAAAAGCATCTGGGCCCACGAAGAAATAGAAAGTTGCATCAATGGTAACCTTCAATGTTTTTTGAAGTGATTTTGAGAAAGGTTGTAACCAAACACACTAAGCAGAAGTAAGGACATAAAGTCACTTACTTTGATATTTTTGAAAACTCTCCTATTATCAGGATCTGTCACTATATTATATACTGCATCAGGGGGCAACCCAACATCAACTTCTGCATTGAGGTTGCAAAGAGATCCTTTGGGAACAGTGACCTGCCAAAAGGAATATTACATTACATATACACGGAACACAGACAAATATAGATATTTCCTTAATAACTTAAAGTTTGACAGACTAGATTCTACATCCACTAGAATCCAGCAGGTCTAAATGATTTACCCAGTTCCTTTTTTGGTCAAGCAGTTGATCTGCCATACGTTACTAGATCTCACCAACAAACAAAGCATCCATCTTGAAGGAGTAGAGAAGTAAACTGCAAAGTATTTTTAAAATCTGAAAAGAAAAAAATAAAAATACCTACTACATACTTAATTTCTAAAATTTCCAAGTATCTGAACAGTTTAGAAATACATCTCTACGGTAAGCTAGTCTACATAAAGCCTGAAGCAACTAAAGTCCACTTATCATTTGTTTTATTAAGAAACCAGGATTTTCAAAAGGAAATCAAACTTTCACAAATAGTTGCTGCTCACCTTTACTAACGGTGGCCTATCAACCCAAGATGGATTTTCTCTCCACGCTTGTAGTTGCTCATTCAGTTCAGCTTCAGAGTAACTGAAAGGCTTATTGTCATTTTTTTGGGAAGATCTCACCAAATTGATTCCGTCCTGTTTAGCTAATCTACTCAGCCGTGCCTGTAGTCAGAAAAAAATAAACAAAAGTATTATACCATGTTCCTAGTAAATTTTTAAGCCACAAGATAAGTTATTGACCTTAACAACACTTTGGAGCTGCACAAAAAATTTAGATATTGCAGGATCCAGACCCCTTGGGAACCCACTTTTCTCATTCTTCCTGACATTTAAGCCGAATTTTGTCATCTGTGATTCACCCATCATAACATAAGAACCTGGAATTTTTCACAAACAGTTAAGCTTCATATTATACGTCCGAAATTACTATCTTCTCTAAAAGGCCATTTGAAGCCTGCCTCTTCGGACGTTCAAGGTTCCATCCTATCATTATGTTCCAAACTTGATGGAGGTTAAATAATTGACCTTTATAAAAGCTTTCTCAGGATCGGTAACAAGTTGATTCACAAGTTCTAAATGCAAATAAACATAGAAAAGAATATGTTCTAGTGGAAAAAGGTGAAATTTTTCCACGGATGGGCACATTCAACTTTGATAAAAGAAAATGGTTAAATATGTTTTTATTCTATGTCAACATTATAATTAATCCCTCTTCAAACACGTAGGATTTGAGTGATTTACACCCACAACGTTTCAATATTAGCTGTTTGAAACGTTAAATAACATACAAAATCAAGAAAGATGCCATCAACCAGACAAAAAAGAAAATACAAAAAAGTGACAATGCTTGATGCATAAAGTTTTGCAGAATACTCAAGAAGAGGAATTGAACTCAACCCAAATTCACAACAAGCATGATCATCAGAAAACACAGTGAAGAGGCAAAACACAACAAAATCAGATTAAAGAATCAGGAAGCAGAAAGGAAATCCATTGGCTCCTGAAACTGTAATAATGATGATAAGGGAATAATGAACTGAAAAAGAAAAAAAAAGAAAAAAAATATTTTCTTTTTTTTTTGGAGATATTCAAGTGAACTCACAGGGTAAAAACTATGATCACCCCCACAGTATATTCCTTTAATCGAAGCCCAGATCTTTGCTTGGAAATTGGAAATGGACAGTGCTTTATTTATTTTTCCTTTTATATGTTTTGATTTTTCAAAAGTATGGCAGAGACGGTGGAGAAAGAGGATAAGAGTAACACGTGCACCTCATGTTCAACTTCACTAATTGACCCATCAAACACGAGTTCAAACTGCCACATTTGACCCACTCAAAGAAATATAATTTTTTGGCTTTAGGTAAGGAATTTAAAAAATGTATTCAAAATGTTTTACTGTAAATTATACCGAATATATTCAAAATTATAAGATACCTTATTTTTTGTATTTCAATAAAAAATAACAATTTGGTTGCATTGAGTTTATTTATTTAAATTTGGCCAATTTTTATGTCAACATTTATTTTAAATAACTCTTCCAGAAAACGCGTTTGTTGAGTACTTTTTTATAATAAGATTGTTAATTTTCCACTATTACGGATTTTTCGCAGAATTCTTCTAAAATAAGAGGTAACTGAAAACAGTCATAATTCATATATAAAAGTTTAAGAAAGGAGACACCAGATATAAAAATAATATGAAAGATTCGTGTTTAAATGTTAAAAAAAATAGAAGAAATGAATAGTTACGAATATTTGAGCAAATAATCCGATTAACAGTAAGTTTGTTTTGACATTATCATTGACATAAAATTGGTGCATTTTATTTAAGAAATTATCTGACAACTGAATTGATGTTCATGGTTAAAGAAATAACCTCATCATTGCTGTCAATATAATTATAGCATTATAAAAATTGATATATCTTTCTTTATATTTTTTTTACAATTTCAATATAAAATTTAACAGTTAATAATCTGATTTTTTTAACCGTTTTTATTCTGTATATATTTTTTAATCGTTTCTTACATTTCTAAATATAATTATATCGAATATGAAAAATTAAAGAGATTATTGTAATTATAACACTATAAAAATTGATAAAATAATTATTTTTTAGGTATATACATTTTTAAAAAATTAAATATAAATTTTATTAATATCACTTTTCCATTTCGATAATTATTAAAATAATTAACTTTTTAGTTACAAATATTTTTTTATTGTCATACAAAGTTGGACGCGTGTATTTTCATTAGCAATAATAATTTGCATCTTATTTAATTGGTTGGTAAACTTATAATGATTTGAATATAACTTTCTTGGTAATTATATTTATTATATTAATTATTGTATAATTAACCTTTTAAGAATATGTTATTAATTTAGAAAATGGAAATTTTTATCAGTATACTTTTTGTTTGTTTAAATGGTTTTTTAATGGTAGGGAACTTACTCTTGAAATTATTTCACACCTCAAATCTCATAACTTCAAATGATTATGTACAAAATGTAGATTACTTTTAGACAAAGGTTGTGTTCTGTGATGTTATGTTCTGTGATGTTATTCCCATTAAAGCATGTTAGATACACCTTAGCAAATTGGAAAAAAAAAATTAACATGAAGAAGGAAAAAATTAATAAGATTTATCTTGTATACAAGGTCATAAGATAAAACATGCTTAACTTTAACCAAAATAATCAATTAAATATTAAATATGTCTTTTGAGATTATGTAAGTCAATTTTTAATTTTTTAAGCATCTGCAATCGTGGAAGAATCACAAACAAAATTATTTAAATTAAAAATAGAAAAGTTGTTACCATAGTTTATTATTTTAAATAAAAATGGTATATGAAATTGTATGAGTCCAAAAATTAGTTATGTATAAGAAAGGTATTAACATTCCACAAAGTTTATCTGAAAACAATTTCTGTTAATTAGGGGTGCAAAAATAAAGTAATTTTTAAAATATTTTTTCTCAAAAAAAATTAAACAAAATCAAACAAATACGAAATAATATATAATCATTTTGATTTGGTTGATATTTTTTAATTTTTAAAATTTTAATATTAATTATTAAGTGATTTAGAATTGATAAAAAATAGTGAGATTAAGTTATTTTAATAATTAAAATTTAAATTATAAATAGAATTCTTATATACTAGTTTCATCATCTTAAAATCACACCATTTCTCTATACACATTTTTCATTAGAGTTTTTTTCCTTTTCTATTGGTTTTCTCACGGTATGTGTTTGAAGGTTGAAGACTGCTAGAATGATCCTTGAGGCTAGCTCTCCATTTTTGTCTGTTCTCCAATAAAGTAAATTGGTTTTTTGCCTTTTTT